TTAAATCACGTAATGTGCCGATGGACACCGCCAACTTCAAAATATGCCCAGTACCATTATGAAATCATGGTTCTTTGTTATTGGACACCGCATCCATTAAAATATTCATTTTCATGGTTAGGGAGAGAGCACGTGGTAAATAGACCATATTGCCCATGCAAGTCGTTTTTGAAAGTGGAAGAATGATCAACCGCGCCTTGTATTGATCTCCGGTGTACAATATATACACGTACATGTGAGCCTTGGCTCAACGGACTCTCCTACAAAGCTGCTACGTGAGCCAGTGGCAGAGCGAGTACATGCGGAGCGTTGGCAAGCGTTGCGGATCGCGTGGTGACCGCATCCATCGGATCGCGTCAACCGCGTCCAGCGATTACAAACGAGCTTACAAGCGGGCCCTGTGTAGACTAATCCGCTAACACCCCCCCTCAGTCGCTGTTGTAGGTTTGCCAACGCATAGGCTGTCTCGGAAGTCGTTGAAGAGCGAAGACGGCAAGCCCTTTGTGAAGATGTCCGCGAACTGGCGCGCGCTCGGTATCTGAAGAACATGGAGCTTGCCGAGTGCAACCTTCTCTCTGACAAAATGAACGTCGAGCTCGATGTGTTTGGTCCGCCGATGATGAACTGGATTGCGCGCCATGTACACCGAAGAAACGTTATCGCAGTACGCGATCGTGGCGCCCTTGATGTGGCAGTGCAGCTCGCCAAGAAGCTGTCATAGCCACGAACACTCGGTGACGGCGTTGGCAACACCGCGGTACTTGGCCTCTACGCTGGAACGCGACACCGTCGCCTATCTTTTGGAGCTCCAGGAGACGAGAGAATCGCCCAGGAACACTGCAAAGCCCGACGTGGAGCGTCGTGTGTCCGGGCACCCTACCCAAGCTCGTCATAGGTCGGTTCGACGCCGAAGAGGAGGGCGAACGGTGTAGTGGTGCCGGTGGCGCGACATGGCCGCCGGTTAATGAGGTATGTCGCTGTGGACAGTGCCTCTACCCAGAACGCCAGGGGAGTTGCACTATGAAGAAGCATTGTTCGAACACAATCATTAAGAGTGCGGAGCACCCGCTCGGCTTTCCTGTTCTGCTGTGAGGTATAGGGACAAGAAAGGCGAAATTGTATGCCATGTTCCGCGAGAAGGAGCCGAGAAGCAGTAGAATCAAACTCCTTCCCATTATCTGTCTGTAGAGCAAGAACGGATAGACGGAACTGAGTGTGGACGTATGCCAAGAATGCGCGTAGGGTGGGCAGGACCTCAGACTTTTGCCGCAGAGGGAATGTCCAGAGGTAGTGCGTGAAATCATCAAGTGCAGCAAGGTAGAATTTGTAGCCGGAATGACTGACAACAGGTGATGTCCAAACATTTGAATGTATTAATTGAAAGGGAAAATATGTATGTGATGTAGAGTCATTGAAAGGTAGACGAACATGTTTGCCCAATCGACATGAAGAACAAGAGTGTGGCACTGATTTATTACAATTGAAATCAAAACTAGCTAAAACTTGAGAAAGAACATGATGTCCGGGATGGCCGAGGCGCTGGTGCCACAAGGAGACCGTCGAGGACGATGAAGCGGCGAGAACTTGATGAGCCGGTAACCGGAGAGGGTAGAGGTCACCGCGGCTATCACATCGGAGCATCTCCTCCCGCGTTGGAAGATCCTTAATGGAGAAACCAGTGGGGTCAAATTCAATAGAAACATTGTTATCGCGAGTAAGACATCGGACATAGATTAAGTTCTTAATTAGAGAGGGAGCAACAAGAACATTGCACAAAAACAAAGGTGAAGAGGAAGTGGGGATGGAGCTGAAGGTCTAATGAGTCATGGGCAATTGGGCACCATTGCCAACCGTGATCACGGAGGAGGAGGGTTTAAGGTGTTTAGGGAAAAAACTACTAGGGGACGAGGCCATATGAGTGGTCGTGCCTATGTCGAGGTACCATTCGGCGGCGCTCGGAGGCTGCATGGGCACGTCGACTGTGGACAGCGCCTGGTGGAGTGGATCCCAGTTGCCGAAGGAGCCGTTGTTCGGGGCTTAGGAGGCTATCATGGCCTGCTGTGGCTGGAAGGGTGGGCGGGGGCCCAAGACGCCGGCGGTGGGTGCATGAAACTGGGCAGGCCAAGCCTGCATGTAGCCCATCCAGGGGTTGTAGCCCATGGGTGCCTGGGGGCCCGCGGGTGCCTGGGGGCGTTGGCCGCCGCCACCGCCTTTGCCGCACGGTCCGCGCCCGCACCCACGCCCGCGGTTGTCCTTGGGGTTGGCGGTGCGCAGTGGATCACTAGAGCTGCTGGTGCTGGATCCATGTCCGGCGACGAGCGCCTGATTGGCATCGGCCTTGGCGTCATGCTGCTCACTGAGTTCCTCAAGGATGAGGAATGATCTGGCACTCATGAATGTATGGGGGTGGGAATTTGGCGGTGATCATTGGTTTGAGGTGGCGGTAGCGAGGATTGAGCCCACGGAGTAGGTTGAGGACTTGGCTGGGCTCGGAGATAGGATGACCGATCGAACGCAGTTGATCGGCGAGGCGCTTCAGCTTAGTGCAATATTCATTGATGGAGAGATCACCTTGGTAGGTGCTTTCTGAAGCTCACCTCAAGGTAGACAACCTGTTGGAGTTCGTTGTTGTGGAAGAGGCTTTCGACCTCGGTCCACAGGGAGAAGGTAGTGAGGTGCGGCTTGTGGACGATATCGAAGACAGATTTGGAGACGGTGAGAAGGATCCAATTGACGATGCAAGGATCCGTCAGCTGCCACTTAGCGCCGCTCTCAGCCGTAGGGGTGGGAGAGCGGACGTGTTCGGTCAGCCCAAACTTGCCGAGGACGGAATCAAAGAAGCACCACCACTGTGAGTAGTTGCCCTCGTCAAGATCAAGGACCACGGGGACATGGGAACGGATGTTGACGACTTGGATGACATAGGCAGCTGCGGGATCAGGAGGATTGAGACTAGAGTCAAGGAGTCGTCAGAATGATGAGAGGAAGGAGCCATGGGTGCGGCTGCTGTGGAAGCTGCGGCGGCGGCGGAAGCTGTGGTGAAGGAGTTCAAGAAAGGTTCGCCGGTAATCTGATACCATGAAAGTGGAAGAATGATCAACCGCGCCTTGTATTGATCTCCGGTGTACAATATATACACGTATATGTGAGCCTTGGCTCAACGAACTCTCCTACAAAGCTGCTACGCGAGCCAGCGGCAGAGCGAGTACATGCGGAGCGTTGGCGAGCGTTGCGGATCGCGTGGTGATCACGTCCATCGGATCGCGCCAACCGCATCCAGTGATTACAAACGAGCTTATAAGCGGGCCCTGTGCAGACTGATCCGCTAATAGTTTTCCACCTCTGTCCGTCGGCCATGGCGTCCCAGCTGAGGGACTGTGCGCGTGAGGGTTGGGGGGCAGCTTTGGCTGCGCTGACCCGGCAGCACAACGGCGCCAGGCGTTCGCTGACCCGCAGCAGGGGCTGGGCCCGTAGGGCGGCGGCAGCGGCGCCCTACCTAAGCGGCAGCGATGACGGCGATTGCGAGCACATCGCCTTGGCCTTCTCCGCCGCAGCGGTGCCGTCGGCACCACCGTTGTTGAGCATCGTCGCGATGAGCGCGGTGTTGCAGTACTCGCGCACCTGGTGATGCGGCCACCGATGCCCATGGTTCACGCGTGCACCCAATAGATCGGATCTTGAACGGGAGGCCGCCGCCAACGCCGATGAGCAAGCGCATGAGCAGCAGGTGCTGGTTCGCGTGGGGGCATGGAAGCACTAGTACACGTCCAGGTTCAGTAGCTGCTAGACGACATCCACATTGCCACGCTAGCGTGCGGTACAACTCCTCCTCCTCCACCTTGCTGCTCATGGCTGACGGCCGACGCCGCTCAGCACGAGCGCACCCCGAGGGCTCTTGCTGAGTAGCAAGTGCGCTAGCTCCAGAGCCAACGTCGGCTATGCGCCGCCGCCCAGCGAGCGCCCGGCGCCATCGTGCACTTGTGATGCCAGCTCAGCCCGGCCAGAGCCACCCCCAACCCCCCATGCACACAATCCATCAGCCATGGATGACGGACAGAGGTGGAAGACGACTCAGGGGCAATATGGTCCATTCATCTCTCTTTCTCTCTCTGAACCACAAAAATTAATATTTTAATGGATACGGTGTCCCGCAGCAAAGAATCCTAATTTCATAATAGTACTTGGACATATTTTAGAGTTGACGGTGTCCATTAGCATATTATGCGATTTAACAATGTCCCTAAACAAAATTTTAAAAAAAAACACTAGGCAAAAGTCACGAACCACCTCATTCTCGTTGAAACCACACCAGACGAGCGCATTATTGAAGCCTATGTTCACTCCACTCCACTAAACAAACAATGAGCATGTTCGCTGGTTGATTTCTGGACTGATAAGTCCGATTGGTGCTAATTTGTTGTAAAAGGAAAACACTGTTAGCTGCCTAATAAGTCCTAGCTGAAACCAACCAGCGAACAAACTGAATATATTAGTCCACTCCATTCTACTAACAAATGCTCCGTACAATCGAAGCATCATCCGAACTTACGAGCAAATATGACATGCTGGATCAATTCATTCCGGATGGGATCACTTCCCAAACAAAACACCCAGACGTATTTCATTCTGATTATCTAAAAAAAAACGTAAACCATGTGGGGCAGCGGAAAATGTGAAACCCATCACCTCTTTCACTTTGGGCGGCCTTCTCGCTCCCACTAGCCACATTTCCCGCTCGAAATTTCCCCCAAACAAACACCTTCCCTCGTCTCGCCGCCTCATCGCTGCCTCTCCCCCTCCCATTCCCCCGACCCCGAGCTCGCCCACTCCGCATCTCCGCTTCCCGGCCTCCCTTATCGATTGGGCCCAGCCGCCGCCGCCGCCACCAGATCGCATTGGGGAGGGGAGGGGAGGGGAGGGGAGAGGGTGTGCCTCTGCGCCGCCGGTAGCTGGGGTAGCTGCCCCACCCTGGCGTAGGAGGCGCCTCCCTTCAGCGAGCGATGGAACCGCGGCGGCGTCAGCAGCAGCAGTCGATCCTCTCATTTCTCCAGAAGCAGCCGCCGTCGTGGCGGGATCCCTCCGGGGAGGGCACGCCTCCCGAGAAGCCGCCGCGGCCCCCTATGGGGTCCATCGCCGGCATCATGGAGAGGCTCGTGCGCCCTCCGCCGCCGCAGGCCAGGTACGGACGGACGCGATAATCACTCACCCTGTTGGTGTGGCGGGAGGCTAGGGTTTTGGGGTTTGGTTGGGCGTCGGTTAGGCCGTCTGGTTGGGTCGCCTTGAGGCACGGATTGCTGGCTGGGAGGAGCTTTGGGTTTCGAGTGATAGTGCGGATCTAACCCATCAGTGCAGGGTTTAAGGATGTGTATTGTTCGAGGTGTCTAATAGCCACTGTCCAGGGATTTTACCATATTTATTGTCCATCTGTTTCTACTGCAGCTCTGCCTGTGATTCATCAGTCTGGCTTCCATTTTGTGGGTTATTAGATACCACTCTACATGATATATGTCTTTATATTGCACATATGCAATTAGGTAACTCCGTTTCAGTCATGGTTAGCCTCAAAGTATATTAGATTTTGATTTTTGAATTCACTGCTGTGCTCCGCTGAGCTACTTGCCCATAGTTTTTTAGAGTAGGATTTGCATTGGCATCTCATGTGTTTTTTCCTGGTCAGATATAGCTTTGCTTTGTAGTATTTTTCATTGCAGACATGCCCTTAACTTGTAGGCCCGACCAAGCGTTTGCTTACGAACTCAGAACAGATTATCTTTCTCTTGCACCTTATTTTGCTATCCTGAATATGCTTGATTCTTTTTTATGCAGAAATCAATATGCTTCCCAGGTTAGACATTTGGAGGGGAAAAACTTGCCAGTGGAAAATCAAGTTCTCTCAAATGAGTGCTCAGGCACATTGTTTTCAAGACCTATTTATGGCGAACAAAGCAGAACAATCCTTTCCCCAGAAGGAGGTGGAGATATGGCTCCCTCTCAGGAGCCCCAAAAGCACTCACTGAGGTCTTCCACTGATGAATTTATTAGAGCAAGCACACTGTTCCCAGAATTTGGCTCAAATCAAGCTCCTATTCAGGATCATCCAAAGAAGTTATTCTCAGAGTCTCATACTAATTGCATTCAGGCTACAGCCTTAAATGAGAACTTTGATGTGCAAACTCCTTCCCAGGTTGCTTCGAAGAAAATCTTCCCAGGGCTTGCTCATGGTGCTGATACACCTTTAACTGGATATGGTTCAGATCAAACTCTTTTGCAGCATTCATCAAAGAAGTTCTCATTGGTTTCTGCTAATGGTGAATACACTAGAGCAGCGGTGACAACCTTTGGGCAAAATTCAAATAATACTCGCGCAGAGGATCCTTCAAAGATACTATGCTCAGGGTCTTCAGACCCTTTGTATATTAGACCAACAAATTTGTTTGCAAAACTTGAGGCAAATGAATCTCCATTGAAGAATCACTCAAAGAATTCCTCCTTGCTTACGAGCGGTAAATATAACGTAGCGTCTGCTACTCTATTTCCAGAACTTGACTCTAGTCCTCTGAAACCAGAAACACCAGCAATGCAGGCAGCTATTCCTTGCCTGAAACGAGTTCAGGAAGACCAAGCTGTGAATGCCAACAACCAATGCCCTCCTTTGTGGGCCTTGAACAAGAAGATGAAATCAGCTCATTGTTCTATTGAAAGGAAGGATCATGATGAAATGGCTGATAGCGCGCGTAGCAAATTTGAGTGGCTGAATCCTTCTGCCATCAGGGATGCAAATAGAAGGCGGCCAAATGATCCACTTTATGACAAGAGTACTCTTTTTATTCCGCCTGATGCATTGAGAAAAATGTCAACATCTCAAAAGCAATACTGGAATATTAAGTGCAAATATATGGATGTTGTCCTCTTTTTCAAAGTGGTAAGATTCGTCATTGATGATTCAATTCATGGCATATAACATACTCTATTGTAGGACACATGAAAGCTTATTTCTTTGGTTTGATGAATATCTCATAAAACTTTGTATGGTACTGAGCCATTTACTTATTCACATAAGGAGTGAGTGTTTCTCAGTATAGGCTCACACCAATTGCTGTTCATAACGTTTAGCTGATTACTCAATCGCGAGCAACTGGAGGAATTCGTTCACTATGTAATCTCCACCCCTTCCCTACCTGCTGATTACTTGTTGTAAACTTGAAGGGCTATGCCCCTCCACCCCCCGGGCAACCGGTATCTGTGGAATGAAATCAGGTGGGGATTATTCCTGATCCCCCCCCGAAGTTGACCTAAAAAAAAACGTTTAGCTGTTTTACTATGTTGATGAATTTCACCAGATATTATACATTATAACCAATGTTGACAATTTTTGTTCTGATTACTATCCTACGAAAGTTTCTGCACTTTCCATTTTTGCACTTCATTTGCTATTGCACTGAGGCTGTTCATTCCAGAGTTAAAGCATTGCTTTGCCCCCCGAAACTATATTGAGCACTCCTTAGTGTAGTATTAGATGTCATATAAGTATATAACCTACTTAAAGTGTTTGATATATCATTGCTAGGGCATATTTTATGAGCTCTATGAGCTAGATGCTGAGATTGGCCAAAAAGAACTTGACTGGAAAATGACTGTTAGTGGGGTGGGCAAGTGCCGACAGGTACGTATTGCTTATCAAATGCTTGTTCTGAACTGTTCTACATTACACCTAAATTTTGAAGTATTTCATTTACATCTGAGTATATTGTGCTGCTCGTTAAGAAGTTACATGAACCAGACAACCACTGGATCATATATCTTATCGTCCAGTCTATATTATCGTTATTTCCCTGATAAGTCTATCACATGAAGCCTTCCCCAACCTGCTTGGTAGTTGGGACAAAAAGGCCTTGTTGCTGTTGTTTTTAATCTACCATGAGGCTGATCTCCTCACAGATTAGGAACACGATCATTTGCCTGCACCTGCCATTAGATTTGGGTTTTGGGGGTAGGGGACAGTGCTTGGGTAAATCTGGGACCCGTGTTGTAGGAGTGTGGGAGGCAATGGTATGGTGGCACGATGAGGTGGTCGCCAACTTGTGTTTGGTGGGTGGTGGTGGCCTGCAGCACAACAACAGTAGTTCCGGTAGTGGGTGGGAGTGATGGACTGCCACCAGTTTGCGATACGCAGCTGTCCTGTGTTGGGAGGCAGACTGGTGCAGCTAGGGTGGAGATCGACAGCAATGCCAGAGACAAAGGAGGCGACTGATTCCATGACTGGGGTCACATGTTAGCCTGCTTGTTCTTTTTACGAAAACTTTTATGTAGTAATATGCTACTATACAAAAAAATTTATGGTGTAGCTCTTGTCTGGGATGACAGGAAGCCAGAATTGATTTGGGTAAATGCTTTTAGGCTCTAGCAATGCACCACTTTGTCATGTTTTCAGCCATCTTGATTTAAATTCTTGGCATTTAATGCATCACTACCTCACTAGCAGTTATAATATAGTTTCATGCTTTATCTCATCTCAGTCATGATTATTTCCTAATGGTAGTGACATTAACTTCACATTTACAGGTTGGCATTTCACAAAGTGGTATAGATGATGCTGTTGATAAGCTTGTAGCTAGGGGGTAAGCTCAATAGCTCATGCTTTTGTTTGGTTTTGTTCATTTCCAGAATTATGTAGTTCTTCAGGTTTATGCTTTATCTTGTTATCATAACATTATCCTGAACATCAGCAAGCTCATGCTGCTTCAGGTTGGTAATGGTCGGTCAATGTGTCTATCCTTATTGATGTGGCAATAATGAGGGATTTATTGCATTATTGACTCCTTTACAATTTGATGTTAGTTATGTTGCTTTCATGAAATTCAAATCTGCTCATTGGTTTCTATAATGCATAAAATTTCCTTTTGAACCTTATGGTCTGCAAGACATCCATGATAGCGCCTCTTCCTTTTCTTTTCCTTCTTTTTTTGGTGCTGAAGCAGTGAGGTTATTGCTCATGAATCTGGCACCTATTTCCAGGTATAAAGTAGGACGAATAGAACAAATGGAATCTGCAAACCAGGCCAAAGCTAAAGGATTACATTCTGTAAGTATTCAGTACTGCGATGAAACAACATTAATTCCGAGTGTTTACACTGATTGTTCATCACTTAGCTAGTGGCAGAAGTAGCAAGCATGCGCCTACCTTTTTTAGAACCTCCCTTTTCTCAGTTGCATATCCAAATTTCTTTGTTCTGGTATGGCAATCTTTTGTTCAAATGTGCACATAGTCATGTACATTGTGATTTTTCATCCCTCTATTTTGCTGTTTCGGAAACTTAGTTTTACTTAAGACACAATTATGGTACTCTGGATGGGTGTAAATTAGTAGCAATATACCCTGTGCAACACAAAACTCTATAATTCAGTATGTGCTCATATTTGTGGTGCAATGTAAATATCTTCCTTACAGGCAATAATATTCTAGTGGCATGTAACATTTTTTCTCATAAAAAACTTCTGCAAGGTTATTGAAAGAAAGTTGGTTCATGTGTCCACACCATCAACTGCGGCTGATAACATCGGTACTGATGCTGTTCACCTTCTGGCATTGAAAGAGGTTTGCTTCTAGCATTGCACCTGTCTTTGGTCCACCATACTTTTCTATGATGCTTTGGAAGTTTGTCCGGTTCAAATGGAATGTTTATAAGCATATATGGGTACCACACCCAACCTAACCATCTTTTTTTTTATCATCCAACCTAACCATCTTACTCCCTCCATTCCAAATATAGTTCACTCTAGCTTTGTTCTAAGTTAGCTTATTTAAATTTGACCAAGTTTATTGAAAAATACACCAACACCTTCAACATCAAATAATTTCATTAGTTTCTTCATGAAATACGCTTCGATAGAGCATTTATTTGATTTTGTAGATGTTAATATATATATATATATATATTAGAAAAAACTTGGTCAATGTAAGAGAAGTTTGAGTTAGGACAAAGTTCGTGAACTATAATTTGGAACAGATGAAGTATAACTTAAAGCATTATTTCATCAAAAGAGAAAAAATGTCATCTTAGCACAAAATAATCCATTGAACTTTCCAAAGTGATCTATAATTTGGAATATATGAAGTATAGCTTAAAGCATTATTTCATCTAAAAAGAGAGAGAGTTTTGTGATTTTAGCACATAATAATCCAATAAACTAACCAGATATTTTTTTTAGATAATGGAAAGGCTCCAGCTTCTTGCATCCCTGATGCATACAATATGTCTGCATTTGTTCATTATTACAAAGGTTCATCATGACAAAGAGAAACAAAGAAGAAAATAAATGCATAGCCTATAATTAAGCAGTCAACCATACATGGTGAAAAATTGCATTGCTACCACCTCCGAAGAGTGGCTTGCCTTGAAGAAGGTTTCTCTTTGTCTTTCCTTTTGTAGCTATCTCCATAAGCGCAAACAATATGCTCCCCCTCTGTAGCTGGGTGCTAGTATGTTTGTTGTTAAAGATCATGTAATTATGGCTAAGCCATACAGACCAAAAGTTGGCAACCCACTCCTACTAAGATCTGTGCTTTAGTACTAGTTCGGTAGTTCCCCTTGCATGCCGTTGACTCCCCTTTATGTGGTTAATACTTGTTTTTTATACCCAACGCAATAATAATTATATGTAAAATGGAATAGCAAAATGATACTCAAAGAAAAGGTGTTCTATGTTTTGTTGTGGCTACAGAAGCAACTAGCATTCTAGTTTCTTTTGGCCAAAATATCCTTGGTCAAAATAAGCCCTCTACCTAAGTACTACAAGAAAACTATTCTTGAGTGGCTAATCGTAAGGTTCCAGATAAACAAGCAGCTAATCTGAATGATTACCATGACAAATATATTAGATCAGAGGTGCATAATGCATTTGCTGAAACAAATAGTATTATTCTAGATTCCACTGACAGTTTTGTTTTTGCAGTTTCTCTTGGTAGTTTGGCATGGACTTTTTAAGTAAAATGGCATTATAAATTTGCAATTGAATCTTGAATTTTGCTTTATTAACATTCTTCATATGTGATCCTATTCTGATGCAGCCTTTCTTGGAACTTTCAGGTTACCCTAGCTTCTAACAGTTCCCAGGTCTATGGATTTGCTTTCCTAGACTATGCTGCCCTTAAAATTTGGGTGGGTTCAGTCCAAGATGATGACTCGTCTGCAGCTTTGGGTGCTTTGTTGATGCAGGTATGCTCTTGTAGCCCTTTTTGATTGGTTAAGTGAACCAGAAACTGTTATAGTGTTATTCATTATTATTCTTTTTTTTTCAGGTTTCTCCTAGAGAATTAATCTATGAAACCTCAGGTCAGAACATGCTTCATTTTCAAATCCTTGTATTTTTAGGAGCTAATACCTATTCTCTTTTGTCAGGCATCTCAAAAGAAACTCAAAGGACAATAAGAAAATATGCCTCAGCAGGTAAATGCTCCTAAAACACTATTCTCTTTATTTGCCAGCAGATAACTCTTTTCTCAGATAGCAAGTTAATGAGACATCAGAGTTTGAAAACTTACAAATATCTTTCCTTAACTTCAGGATCTGTGAAGATGCAGTTGACCCCCCTCTCTGGGATAGATTTCTCTGATGCTTCACAAATTCGAATGTTAATACATTCTAAAGGGTTCTTTAACGCATCAACAGAGTCATGGTTATCTGCTTTGGACTGTGCAGTGAATCAAGATGTAGTTATTTGTGCACTTGGTGGACTTATTGGCCATTTGACTAGGCTCATGGTATACTTGGCTTACCTTTTTCTTCCCTTGATCACATATATTAGTCATCCCAATCGATTGTGCCATTCGTAACTGCTAATTTTTTTAATTAAATTCTTTGTAGTGTTTCATTGGCTGTCCCTAGTCATTGTTTTCCATCGTTTATGTATTTTCGAATTATTCCGCAAAATATTATATACATAATTTTCTCTCTCTACTATGTTGACCATTGAAATGTGTTCTAGTTCTAATTCTACAATCTGAAACCAGTTACATGATGCCCTGAAAAATGGGGAAGTCTTACCATACCATGTGTACAAAACATGTTTAAGGATGGATGGCCAGACTCTTGTGAACCTTGAGATTTTCAGCAACAATTTCAATGGCGGTTCATCTGGTAGGAGCACAGATTCTACTTTTTTTTTCTGCTCTTATTTTTTGTTCTTGAACAGTAGTTTTTAAACAGAAAACCAGGTCAAAGATAATATTGCTGAATCTATACCTTGTTGCAGGTACTTTATATAAGCACCTTAATCACTGTGTCACAGCATCTGGTAAGCGGCTGCTAAGAAGGTGGATTTGTCATCCACTTAAAGACATTGATGCTATCAATAAAAGGCTTGATGTTGTTGAGGGTTTTATCCAAAACTGTGGACTAGGCCCTACAGCACTTGGGTATCTCCGGAAAATTCCTGATCTTGAGAGATTATTAGGACAAGTTAGATCCACTGTTGGGTTATCATCTTTGCTTCAACTGCCCTTTATTGGAGAAAAGATACTAAAGAGACGGGTAAGTGGTTCTTTTCTCTTTCAGTCACTAGCTTATTAGCTATTACAGCTCTGGGTTCTCTTATACAGCTAAGTTTTGGAGTGATATTGAAATGTAATATCTTGTAACAGATCCCATATTCAGTTGATACTTTATTATGTAAGAAATGATCTTATTAAGTTGTTGATTATGAAACCTTTCCTGAAACCATAGTTTGTGCTTGCAGAAAATATGTCAATAAAGCCAATGTGTTTTCCTGCATGTTTTCATAATCGTCTGATTCGTTTTCATGGTCTCCAGTAATATGCTATGAAATATTTGCTTAAAACAAACGTGCTATGAAATCTTGAATATGTATACATATTAGTATTAGTACTAGTTTCAGTGAGACTTTTTGTTAACATACTAGGGTTTCTAAGGGAAAACCTATGTTCTAGATTTGATTATTGAAATGCGAATTTTCTAGTTTTTCTTCCTGCCAGTTGATTGCTTCATGCAAATTTTTATGGCATGTTCCCAGATTAAAACATTTACAATGCTTATCAATGGCCTCCGCAATGGTATTGACTTACTCAGTGACTTACAAAGAGCGGATCATGGTGTCTTGGCACTTTATAAGGTTGTGGAGATTCCATCATTGAGCTGCCTTTGTGAGTTAATCCATACGTTTGAAGAGAGAATACGAAATGAATTTCCATGTGGCCAGGTAAAATATGCCATGGTTTCCCATCTGCATTAGTGTTGTATATATAAGTGCCTGTTTCCATTTTAGTTATTTACTGCTCACTTGTATTTCTTCTATTGCCATTACTTATTGGTTGATCTTGTGAGCTTTGAAAGGATTCTGATGTCGACGACAATGGTGCCAACAATTTGGCTCGTCTGGTGGAATTTTTTATTGGAAAGGCTTCTGAATGGTCTTTGGTGATCAATGCTGTCAGCACTATTGATGTGCTTAGGTCCTTTGCTGCAATGACATTGTCATCATTTGGTGCCATGTGCAGACCACAAGTTCTGCTGAAAGATGATGTGCCTATACTTCGGATGAAGGGTCTGTGGCATCTTTATGCTTTTGCGGAAAATGCAAATGGCCTGGTACCAAATGATTTAACCCTTGGTCAGGATTTATCTGGTCTGAATCGTTTTGCATTGTTGTTAACTGGTCCAAATATGGGTGGGAAATCCACAATCATGCGTGCCACCTGCCTGGCTGTTGTACTTGCCCAGGTCTGTATAATCTTTACTTATGCTTGTCTGTTCATGATCTTATTCAAATGTATTACCAAGGTTTCTTCTTCTTTGCAGCTTGGCTGTTATGTCCCCTGCACATCATGTGAGTTGACCCTTGCAGATTCCATCTTTACGCGCCTTGGTGCAACTGATCGGATTATGTCTGGGGAAAGTATGTAATCATTTTGACAAATTAGTACATTGCCCACCGTATTTTACTGTTCTGGGTCCAATGAGTTATAATTGATAAATACATGTCTGTGTGGCAAAAGAGTAATACGATGTTTGTAAATCCTTGAATTATCTGTAGAAAGCCCTCATTGTATTTATTTGAACTGTTTTGCGTCATGAACTTGTTTAGTAGATCAATCAATCTCTTTATATTTCATGATCTAATGCTATATATGTACATTATTCGGTATGCTTGGGTATGAGATGACAATGACCTTGACTTTGTTTTTATAACATTGTTTACAGGTACGTTTCTCGTTGAATGTACTGAGACTGCCTCTGTTCTTCAGAACGCAACTGTGGACTCACTTGTCTTGCTTGATGAGCTTGGCAGAGGAACTAGCACATTTGATGGATATGCAATCGCATATGCTGTGAGTTTTTTTCCTCTGCAGTATCTCAAATCTCATCCTTCATTGCTATGCTTGATGTTCCCTTAGTATGCTTTCACTTCATAATTAGTGCTGTTACCATGACCCAATGACTGGTAATGACTCATGAGGTGCATGGTACAGGGAACTTTTTTTATACAAAATAGCAACATACCTTATTTGTCTGGTTCACAGATTTGGGGAATTGTTAATTTGCTAGCATTAGATATCACATATTATCACACCATTACATGTATTTGTGAGAATCCTACTGTGTGTTTTATCTCTCCAGTAAGATGCAGTATAAGTAGGTTAGACAATCTTGAACAAAGGTGCATTGCCTTCATGTTTCACGTGCATGCTTCTCTGTTTCTCTTTCCGTTATGCAACAGGTTTCCTGGTTTCAAATGGCATTTTTTTTGAAGAATGCCATTATTAATTATTAATGATATCTAGAATTGGAACTGCCCTACTCTTAGTCCCTGGAAATTGCACTGTCATACTGCCACTAAACTACTCTTTCCTTTGTTTTCACATCAACAATACATGAATCTACAGATCTACATTTATCAGTAATAGCATCTTATGCATTGTGAAGGGCGGGCCTGGTGCAAGCGGTAGAGTCTTATTGCCTGTGACCGGAAGGTCCCGGGTTCTAGTCGCGGTCTCCTCGCATTGCACAGGCGAGGGTAAGGCTTGCCACTAACACCCTTCCCCAGACCCCGCACAGAGCAGGAGCTCTCTGCACTGGGTACGCCCTTAGCATCTTATGCATTGTCTAACTGTAACTCAGGTGTTCCGCCACCTATTGGAGCGTGTGAGATGCCGTCAGCTCTTTGCCACTCACTACCATTCTCTGACGAAGGAGTTCGCCTCGCACCCTCACGTGAGCCTCCAGCATATGGCCTGCATGTTCAAGCCAAGCAGCAACGGCAACGGCCAGAAGGAGCTGACCTTCCTATACCGGCTGACCTCAGGGGCCTGTCCAGAGAGCTACGGCCTGCTGGTCGCCACAATGGCTGGAATCCCGAAGTCGATAGTGGAGAAGGCGTCCGTGGCAGGCCGGGTGATGAGGTCTAAGATCGCCGGGAACTTCAAGTCGAGCGAACAGCGAGCTGAGTTCTCGACCCTCCACGAGGAATGGCTGAGGGAGGTCCTGTCGGTCAGCGTGATGGACGGACTCCTGGATGACGACATCATGGACACGCTGGTCTGCATCCGGCAGGAGCTGAAGGCTCACTTCAGGAAAGCGAGATGAACATTGACACCGCCGCTAATCACGTGCGTAGGAGTACTAATTATCAATGCCTAGATTATTCAGTGCCATCGCTTGCCTGTTAATGTCGTGTCTTTAACCACGGTAGATATAATGTAATCCGTGTTTTTTTTTCATGGCACGAGTCTTGTACTGTCGACTAAGTATCATGTGTATATATGTCTTGTGCTATGTCTTATCTGTGCATTGAGAGGCAAGTGCAATGTCTAGTGTTGACACTTGACAGGCTCATTAATTTACTGGTTTGGCTGAGCTGCCCGCGTGATAAGGGCAAGAGCTGGTTGCTAGCCATAACTTACCATCATTTGCCATGTTTGATCAACTTTGGTTGCCAGTTTGCCACCACAAAGTGTGGCAAGACTTCTTTCCATTAAATTAGGCTCCACACGTCAATGATTTAGTAAGATTCTCTTAAATTTTGAAATGTGGCAAATATTTTGGAATATTTATTTAACCTTAATCAAGTGTGGCAAGTTGCGGCGATCTGTTGTTGGGAATCTAACGGTGCCCTAAATCTGAAAGTGATGTGCCGTGCTGATTCTCGTGGCACAAGATTGAACTCATGATGTTACCAGAGCAATTAACGGTGTCTTCCTTTTCTTCTAATCTCCGCCAACTGAAACCTAAATTCTCCTCAACTGTCCAACGAATGGAGCAGTGTTTTCTTTTTGTGCCCACAGTTTCAAGGGTCAACCAAAAATCCTATACCTCTGTAAACTTTGGGCACATGTACATTTTTGCTCCAGCCGGGGGCTCAGTAGCCAGTACGTAGCTGATCAGGCCTCGAGAAAAGGGAAACGCGAAAAGTGCTGCCGCTACCGCTAGCTAGCACATGAGCAGCTTGGAGCCCATGCGTGTGTGACAAGCTGTTCTATCACAAGTTCACAACTGGGCCAACACACAAGACAGCAGCCGGTGCCCGGTAGCCATGAATGCATGCATCCCAAGTCCGAGCGCCGGTCACATGCCAATCAAGCAAGCGAACGCATGCAGAGTTGCAGAGCAGGGCGGCGGCGTGCACTGCATGCATGATGCATGCAAGCTTGGTTGCTTTGCAGTTCACTCTCGCTCATGTAGGTGCATGCTGATGCTGAGCCCACCTCAAAAGTCCAAAGGCCCCCAGAGAGGCCATGACCCAACCGACCAGTTTTAGCAAATCGACGCGGGCACATTTTAGTCAACCCCGGCCAGCCAGCCACCAATTAAACCCCGAAGCAACTGGCGGCTGATCGAGCATCCATGTCCATGCCATGCACATCGTCTCGCGTTTAAATACCCCCCGCGCGCCATGGCTTCCCCTCACGCAGCAGGACAGAGTTCCATTCCAAAGCTGAGTTTGTAAGTCATGGCAAGGCTGCCTTCCATGGGCCACCGGGCGGTGGTATTGCTGCTGCTTGCCGTGTGAGCGGCGACCGCCGCTGCCACACGGCGGGAGCCTGTGGCGTGGAGGCCTGACATGATTAGAGCCGAGGATTGTGACAACAAACATGGTAAGGGTGGGGGTGGGGGCGGCGGCGGTGGTGGCATCGGTGGTGGTGGAGGAGGTGGTGCCGGAGGCAGTGTAGGTGCAGGAGGTGGCATGGGCGGTGGTGGTGGCTTTGGAGGAGGAGGTGGTGTAGGCGGCGGCATTGGTGGTGGCGCTCGGTTTGGAGGTGGAGCAGGTGCAGGAGCTGGTGGTGGAGGCGGCCTTGGTGGCGGTGGGGGGCTCCGAGGTGGAGGTGGGTTTGGAGCTGGTGGCGGCGGCGGTTTCGGTGGTGGTGGTGGAGTAGGAGTTGGTGGTGGGGCTGGTTTTGGAGCAGGAGCTGGTGCGGGAGAAGGACTTGGCGGAGGTGTTGGACTTGGAGGTGATAAAAATATTGCAGGATCACTAGCCATAGATCTAGCATACCTACCGACATTTGATGAAGTGTAAACCCTAGAACATAAACTAAACGAGAAACATAGAGAAAGAGGGAGAGAGAGAGGGGTTGCGGAGGTACAAACCATCGGCCACCTTCGTAGAAGACGAGCTGGCCATGAGGTTGCTCGTCGGTGGCGCGGTGAAGCCCGGCGGTGAAGGCGCTGTCGCGGTGGCGACGGTGCAGAGGCGGCGGTGGCCGGTGGCGGTCTTCCCGTCGCTGGCAGCACCCCCTCTTAGATCGGTTAGGGTTTAGGGGCGGTAGGTGGGGCGTCTGGCGGCTCAAGTGAACCTCGTGCCTTGTGCCCCGACCCTCACCTCCCTTTTTATGGTGCTGTGCGACGGGGGCCCACCAACCATGGAGCGGTTGGGTGCCCCCGATCAGGGCGCGGATCCAAGGGTCCAATTGGAAGAGATCAATCTAACAGGAGGAGGTGTTGGCGGAGGAGTTGGAGGAGGATTGGGCGGTGGCGGTGGTGCCAGCGGTGGAGTAGGAGTTGGATTCGGAGGTGGAAGTGGTGCTGGTGGGGGTGCAGGAGGAGGCATTGGTGGTGGTGGAGGCATCGGGGGTGGCTTCGGAGGTGGTGGTGGCGCGGGAGCCGGTGGTGGGTTTGGTGTCAAAGCTGGAGCGGGTGGAGGCACGGGCGGTGGGATCGGAGCTTGTGGTGGAGCCGGACTTGGAGGAGGAGGAGCAAGAGGAGGACTAAGGGGTGGCGGTGGTTTCGGTGGCGGCATGGGCGGTGGATTCGGTGGCGGCGCGAGAGGCGGGTTGGCGCGGGTCTTGGCACAGGGGGGCGGAGGTGGCATCGGCGCTGGAGCTAGCGGACCTGATTTGATTATATACCTTGCTAATAAGGGGACCTAGCCTCTCACTACAATTAGCTTCTCGATCTAATTTCCCCATTCGTTCTTTCCACCTTCTATCCCATCACATCTTCCTGGGTTCTAGCAACTTTTGTACCATCTTAGGGCCTGTTTGGAACGCAGGAATTTCGTAGGAATCGCGTAGGAATTTTACAGGAATCAGTTCAATTTCACAGAAAAAATGTAGGAACGGGAAATATTTTCCGCGTTCCAAACAGGCCCTTACAGTTCATTTCACCACATTTTTAATTGTTTCATTCATTCATTCGATTCGATGGCAAGTTAAACCGATACAAATTCCGAGTGTTCTTTTCCAACGGTCACGGCTGCCATCGCTGCTCCTCTGAATTTCCAACGGCCTAGGGCGGCCAGCCCAGCCGTGGCCCAGGAGGGACGTTGGGCTTTGTCTGGTAGAGCAACTCCAGCGGAGCCACACAGGACGTTGGGCTCTACTAGGAGCGCTGCGGGCCCCAACCGGATGCGTGGCCCCTGCCATTCTGCCTTTTGTCTCCTGCGTCCAGTCATGGACCCCCCAGCTTCCTTATCTTATCATGATAGAAATATATTATAATTATTAGATAGGCCTAGAGGCACAATATGATATGCCGGAATGGAATGGTTATGTTAAGGTACACCTTCAATTAGGAGTATTTGATTTGATCGACGTGAAGGCTAGTAGCAGCAGCAGCAGCAGCTAAGCTATGGCATCGAGTGGGCATGCATGCCCGCGTGCATTTTTGACCGCTCGGGCCCACGCATATATCTATGCAAATATGATGAGAATGCAATGCAACCACAGCCTTCTTGAGACGCATGATCGATCCCCAGGAATGCACATCATCACTTGTACTACTACTACGAGTGGACCATAATAATCTAGTCTAGTATAAGCTGCAGTAGAAAGTTGCTTATTAGATTCACTACACCGCATCACCGTCAGACATCTGACGCTAAAAATTATATTTATCGATGGATGATCTGTCGTTAAAGATAACTCACATACCATCTGCCGCTAATTTCTCGTTTAGCGATTTATTGTCTATCGCTATAGATATTGATATTTAACGTTCAACTGTCTATCGCTAAAAGCAAAATATATTGTCTATCTATCTGTCGCTAAAGAAAACGAGCCCACGCTAATTCGCGTGCCCCACCTCTATCCAGCTCGCTCGCAACTTTTAGCGAGCGAAGTCCGAACACGAACATAAAAAGAAGCGGCTCCGCAAAAAAAAATGGCACACAAAGGGTTCGAACTTGTGCTCCTAAATCGTATGAGCTAACCACTCAACTAATCGTGTGGTACTGTTTATTAGGCTGGCCATGCACGTGAAATATATTAAAAAAAAGGCTGACCATGCATGCGAAATATATTAAAAAAAGGCTCGCCATGCACGCGAAATCATCATCTACTTTGTATTAGCTCTAAAAAAAATAGAAAGTTCACGTATTTTTTAGCCGTCCTTTACCCTCGCGTTCCTGGCCTGGTAGTGGCCACGGCCAGCAGCCCTTACCCTCGTGCAGGTCCGTTGGGTGGCGAGATAAAAGCGCGTCTGCCCCAAAACCGTAACATTTCCTATCCTGTCCCGACGGCCGGCTCAGTAGGTCTTTCTCCCATCTCTCTCGCTCCAATCTTCCAACTCCACCGCACACGAGCGCGTCCACAGTCCACACCCATCTCACCCGTCGCTCGCCCCCACCCACCCCGAGAAGCGAGATCACGACCGCCGCCCTGTAAGGCTACGGGAGCAGCGGCTCCCTACCGCTCGACCTGGCGGAGGAGTGAGGGCGCGGGATCCAGTGTCCATGGTCGGTTCTGTGGAGGAGGGCGCCGGATCCAGCGGCCTCGGCCAGATCCGTCGAGGAGGGCGCGGGTTCTGGCGTACACAGCCGGATGCGACGAGGAGGACACACGACAACACTGGATCTCGCATGCGTAAGGAGTGGCCAAGGGCGACGATGGCCTCCGATGTACCGAGCTCGAATCCCAAATCCCGCGCCACCCACCCCAAATCCCCCCGCTCCCGGCCCGCCCTCAGAGCTCCCCGCGCCGCACGTCCTCATAGCTCCCAGCGCCGCCCGCTGCACGCGACAGCGTCGCCCGGCCCTCTGCTTCGACAGCTCCTCGCCCACCCCAAAGCCCCCGCCCGCCGCCGCCACATCTCGCTGTGCCACCACATCCACACGCTGCCGCTAGGTCGTGCCCCACATCTCGTACAGCTTGTCGGCGGGGAGAAGACGAGGAGGGCGACCTCGACGCCAGAACCCGCACCTGACGCCTGGCAGCTCCCGATCCGCCCCTGCCTCCTTCTCCCGGTGTGCCGCTGCCACGCCTTGGCCATGGATCCGTCATCGTCGAGTGGGTTTGGGGTCCCAGGATTCGTGGATCCAGAGGAGGACAACGCCAACGCCATAGGTTTTGATTTCTTCTCCCAGCTTGATTCCATGCCTCCGCCTTCCAATGCTGCAGGTATATACATCTAACCTTCAAGCTGGACAACCTGTTTAGCCCAATCTGGAACATCATGAATCATTCATGTGGAGACTGTCAATTTTGTCACTGCTGTTCAATGCTTGATGATAGATGCCATGAAGTATATACATCTGCACTAGTATCAGGTCGCGGATGTGCTCATATGCTTGTAACAGCTTAAGTGATTTACATGTATTTTGACCAATTTACTGTCACGAGGTTTTGTTGCTTGACTGGCCAATATAACTTTGTGTGTTCTTTTGGCTATATAAAAAATGGGATCAAGATTTGGCTGGAATCAGCTGAGATGAGAATCAGTAGCTTTGTGTGTTCTTTTGGCTACAATACAACTGTTAATTTGACTTGTTAGTGAACAATTTAATTTGGGCTAGTTTAAACGTGTTGTACTTGCTCATCACACACATGCTGTAGTAGGGATTTTCACTAGTAACTATTCCTTGTTACAACCAAGTAACTATTCATTGTTATTTTCACTAGTAATTGCAGACGATTTGTTTCCGAGATAAACATGCTTTAACCAATTTGCCAATTTTTAGATAGTTCAACTGTAAAGATTATGCCACGGGTATATTATTGAACAATCTAATATATTTTTACTAAAGTACTCTTTCCATTTTTCTATATATGATGTTGATTAATTCAATTTTGAGCTCACCAACCTTACCACCGTCATGCATAATAAAGCAGAGAGACTAGCTAAAATGCTAAGATTTATGTATATATCAGATTAGCATATTGCACTTGTATTATTCTGCTAAGAGTTGATGGTCCAGCTAGTTTTTTTGTGGTAGTGTCTTTATGGCCCTGGTGATTGAGTCATGACTGTAGCTAAGCATCACTTCACTTTTGTCATTGACTTGTTCTATTTTTTAATCATTAACTAGTTGATATCTTCATACATATATTAGTTCCAAGGATATTTAGCAGCTGAAAGGTCCCTATGTGGTTTTGGTAATTGAGTGACAACCTAGGTGGACTAATTATGTTTATGTGAGATACACATGTGATTAGTCCACAGGTACATGTGTGTGAGCAACATATGCCATGAAGGTGAAAATGGCTTGGAGATGTTGCAAAGCTCACACATGTGATGATGAAGGAGCTCATTGCAAATGAGACATGACATTGAGTCAGGTGATCAAGGTGGAGAAGATCAAGACGAGACTTGGCTTGATGGACCGGTTGCAAGCGTGAAGGGCAAGTCGGAGGCTTTGGAGCAATAGACCGCGTGTCGGTGAAGCTTGAGCAAGACTTAGCACCGATGGACAAAGGCAACGGTGAAAAGCAAGTGAAGTCAAGATCGATGAACCAATATGATCACGTGATGATATGAAGTGGATCATATCATTGTTGATCGTGTTGGTGCATGTGTTGCATCGACATTGGAGGAGATGGAATGGAATGCGCAAGGCAAAGGTATAACCTAGGGTATTTCATCCAGATAATTCAAGGATACAGTGTCGTGTGATGCAACCTGATGATCATCACCACCGGTCATAGGTGTGTAGAGAAGTTTATGACCGGGTTTATGATAGATGGTCGTACTATCAAGAGGGGCAAACTTATTTGCATACCGATCATCTAGTGACACTCGAGTGATCTAACTTTGCATCATCGCAAGGATTGAGTGGCGTGGCAAGTTGAGTGACTAATCCTTTGGAAAATGTTTATGAAAATGCTAACACACATACACATGGTGGTGTACACTTGGTGGTGTTGACACATTTACAAATGAGATGAAGTTGGAGTTGATGTGGATCAACTCGGCGATGAAACGGAGGCGAGAAGGGTTAGAAACTCCATCGGTGGAGTGTCCGCCGTGAGTGCGTGACGATCCATCAAGCATGCACCGTTCTATATCTGAAATGATAGGGTCTTCTGAGGGACCGGACGTTGATCACGTGGTGGCCGGACCTTTGGGTCCTGCGTCCGGCCGATGGCATGAGAGCGTCGTTGTCGTCGGTCTTATTCGAACGACGGCGGCGCCGAAAGTGACCGACGGCTGGAAGGGTGCGTCCGGTCGGTGATGTCTGATGGCGTACGACGCAGAAGGTGGAGAAGGACCGACGCCGATGTCTGCGTCCGATCGTGACCGACCGGACGGACGCGTCCATCCACAACCGGTACCTTACTAGAAACGACCGGACGCCTTGGGTTGCTTTGCGTTCATCACTTTGAGTAAACTCAAGTCCGGTCAGAAACTTGACCGCTGAGATCGGGCGATCAACGTTTGAAGCGAGGGACACATGGTGTGCATCGACGCGGCCGACGGTCCAGCTGGTCCGGCGTCCGATCGATCTGACCGGGCGTCCGATCGTCCGAGTTTTGCCTAATAAAGGGTAACGGCTAGTTTAGCCCGTGGGGCTATAAATAGAAGGGTGTCTCAATGGCAGTCTTTGAGCACCTCGGGACTTTATTGTCCATGCTTGAGAGTGCTTGGGAGCCCTCCATCTCATATATGCTTGATAGTGATCATCTGATTGTGTGAAAGAGCGATTCTAGTGTGATTGCATCATGAGGTTGCATCGAGTGGCACTAGGTGATCGAGTTGCAAGCCGGTGGTGCTTGTTATTCTTGGAGGTTGCCACCTCCTAGATGGCTTGGTGGTGGTCTGCGTCGAAGCCTACAAGAAGCTTGTGCGGTGCTCCGGAGAAGAGCTTTGTGAGGGGCATTGTGCTCGCCCCGCGGGAGCCGCGAAGAGCAACTCTAGTAAAGCGTGTCATTGAGCTACCCTCGCTTTTGGGCTAGGTTCTTGCGATGCCCGACGTGCGGGCTTGGAGTGATGCCAATTAGCCGCCAAACCACCAAGTGAGCGGTCGACACAACGGGGACTAGCGTGTTGGCAAGCACGTGAACCTTAGGAGAAAAATCACCGTGTCAACCTTGTTCTTCCCGTTGGTTTGCAATTCCCTTTCACAAGCTTGTATTTATATTTCATATACATTGTGCTTGTGTAGTTGCTCTTGTAATTAGTTAGCTTGTGTAGCTTACTAGTTACCTTCTTGCTTGTGTAGCATAAAAGTAGCTCTCTTGCATGGCTAATTTGGTTTGTGTAACCTTGTTAGTCGTATTGCTTAGTTTGTGTAGCTAAGTAATTGCGCTCTCTAATTTGATATTGGTTGCCTTGTTATTGAGCATTGCTAGCTAGCTTAGGTGGCTTTGTGCTTTTGCTTACTAGCTTGTGTAGGAGCTCCCTTGTTGCTTGAAGTACTAGTGGCATAGCTTTGTGTGACCTTACTTCTAGAATTGGTTAGGTGAGCTCTAGCTAGCCCGGCACCTTTGTTGCTTAATTAGTATCTTTGGAAGGTGCTAGAGAACATAGATAGAGAGGTGTAATTTTGGCTAGACCGATAGTTTTAATTCCACAATTGTTTCGATTAGCCGACGCGATTAAGTTTTAGAAAGGACTATCATCCCCCCCTCCTCTAGTCCGCCATCTCGACCATACAGCAGCAGCCACTTATATTTATGTATCCTTTTCACCTAAGGGATCCTGATGAGAAATCCTAAGTCAATCAACAAATGGCATATGTTAAATTTTACTGAATGCCCATCAACAGCACAGAGGTTTGCCATTCGAACAACTCTTGGTAACTTAGAATCAGACTTTACAAATGGATGTAACTCATCTTCAGAACTCTCTTCTAAATTTTTAGCAAGTCTTGATCTGAATTATACTAATCTGTATTTTTAGCAAGTCATGATTTGAATAATAATATTTCGTATAACATTCCTTACCTGTTGTTCTAAGATTTTCTTACAATATTTTATATTTAGATCACAAGCTTTTAATACTAATGAGGCTTGTCATAAAGCTCCAGGGGATGTTCCAAACTTCTAGTGAACCACTGTCTTTGCTTGAATGGCAAGTAGAAAGCCAATAACAGTGAAGGTAAGTTCAGTTGACTTCTTAGATATCTCCAATTTCTGATGCTCAACTATTGTCTTGAGTGTTGGGCCTCAAAACAATGTCACTACCTCTAAATTTTTTACTGCATATGTGTAATAGTAACTAAGATTTAAGTTGATTTGTAGTAGCTGCTGCAGCTATCAGTCTTCTATGTGTTTAATTTTAGTATGTAACTTGAGTTTGCAGCATGTGTCAAAACTGTTTATTTGATTTTGTGAAAAATAATATATTACAGTCTGAAAGTCCAGTGTTCAAGGGGGACTATGTAAAAGATGCAATCAGTACTTTGAGTAGTGGCACACTTTTTGGTGCACCGTACAAAGATGAGTTGTTGCATGTGTCAAAAATACTTCTTAGTAGTGGCACACTTTCTGGTACACCGTACACAGAGGTGCGGGCTGTTCCATCCTACACAAATCATAAACATGATGAAACACCTGTGGGGTTCTATCTCCAGAATTAATTCATGGCTTTCTATGTTCCTTCTCTATCACACTTGGCCTCCACATTTATCCTTCTATGTACAGCTGCTGCTTTTTACTTGTGTTGCTTGCTTGGTCCCGAACTTGAAATAATGGCAGGACTTCTATTCTAGCATGATAATAGCCCAAGTTTGTCTCTTTTGCACACCGAAGCATGACTTTTTTTTATATGGTCACATATGCAAAGACATACCTTTTTTATAAAAAAATATAGAGGTGTTGTGGCCAAGTGGCAGCGCAAATGCTAGTTGTCAGTTGGATCTTATTTCTAATTGCTAGGTACATCGTTAACCTTAGGCTGTGAAATAAGATCCAACTGAGAGATATGAGATAACAAGAGCTAATATGAATTCATGTCTTTTTTTTCTTGGTCTGTAATCGGTTGTCAAAATTTCTAATTACTAGTATTTTTGCAGCTGAAGGTTAGCAGCATGGCATCAAATTCTTCTCCGGGGGTTATATGTCATTTACACACAAGGCAACATCACTTGTGAATCTACTGATTGCATGTTAGGTTTTGGTTTTAGGGTCTGCTAGGTGCTAGGTAGCAAGTTTGTGGGT